AAAATATGCAAAAATGCAACAAATATGCAAAAAATATATGCAAAAAAAAGCAAAATATATGCATGAATAAATGCAAATGAATTTCTTCAAAAAACTGAATTCCACTTTTTAAAATTAAAGTGCGAGCAACACAGAAGAAATTGTTTGTTCGGTTAAAGAACAAACAACAAAGAGAGTCTGACCGCGCCCGACTGACTACTTCGGCTCGTCTGTTCGTCAATACCGAGGCGCAGTCGGTCCCAGTTCAGGAGAAAATATGCCTTGTCATGCCCAAGACATAGTATTTGTTCTGTTTTATTGGGCAAACGAAACAGAGGTTAAAAAGAATCGAAACTCTACGCGTTCTCCTCTGTCCTCGGGGCGTCTCGAAAAACCCTGCCTAAACAGCTTTTTGTAAAATCGGTGCATTGCATAGTCTTTTGTTGAGTTAAGTGGAGCAAGTGAAATGCCGAAAGTCAATAGACATTGTTGAAAATACTCTTTGTATATATTTAGTTCGTTGTTTCAGAACACACTATAAATGTATCAGCAGAAGCAGCAATTCTATATTATGTAAGTCCAGTTTAGTCCGGCTTCAGGAACATCATGCAGAAATAATAAAACGAATACACGCAATGATGGCTTTTATATTTTATGTTTTATATTTCTTCTTTTCTATTTGCCGGCTTGTCACTACACACGTCAGTTTAGTTTCGTTGTTGGAGGAGAAGAGAGTGTCAGCGATGCCAATGTATCGATACTTCGTATATCGATATTAAAACTAATTTAATAGGAAAATGGTTTAACAGCCTTCCCGAGAAGTGCTTTAAAATTGATGGATGCAATATAATTTGTACAACTTTACGAATTTCGAAATTTGTTCATCGCAATATTTGTTTGCGTTCTAATGTTTCCAATATTTTAGATTACTTGCGAAAAAAAAATTTCAATTGCAGCAGCATATTGCTACTTCACTGCACAGACAGTCAAGGGCATCAAATAACAACAACGACGATAATTCGTCTAGCAATACTTCCAGCAGCTTTTCCTATCTTAATCCTTCAAAAATATGCAAATATGCTAAATCCGAGGTCTAGATATCATACTGTAGTGTTGGGTAAACATCGTTCAATTTACTGAACAAGTTTGTTCGTTCACTTTTATTCAGTGAACTAAGTCGTTCTTTTAGTTCGTTCTTTCTTGTTCGTTCTTTTTCGTTCGTTCGTTTTTGTTCATCGTTCCTTTTTGTTCGTTCTTTTTTGTTTGTTCTCTTTTGAGCTCTGATTTCTATTTGTAAGCGTATGTTTAAATAAAGTACTACAATTTGTGGACGGTTTAAGTTTGAAAATGTATTTTAATTTGTGCTTGGTACTAAGAGATTAAATTTTGCATGTTGATGTCATTCATGGCCTCGGGGCTAAAAAACAGTAATCAATTTGACTTTTGTTGTCCATTATAATTTAAAAAGCTATAAAATACACACCTTTATATATTTTACATATTATTATGTAAAAACATAAGACTTTCCACCTTATTCGACATTAAAAGCGTTCGCCTTTTGCGGACTATTTCTCCTGCGGCAGAAAATAGGCGCTCACATGGCACCGACGTGGCAACCAAGCAAAGACTTTTTAATGCATGATGGTACCTGGTGCCCACCAGATCAAAGGGTCCTGCTCTTTATTCAAGTACTCCTCTGCTAGGTATTTATCTACCTCTATCATGGCATCATCCGCGTTGTTGCTTTGCTTTTGATCTTGGTTGAACTGCTTATCATACTCGTCCCAAATGCAACTTTTTATACCCGTACTCAAAAAAGAGTTAAGGGGTATATTAGATTTGTGGTAAAAGTGGATGTGTGTAACGCAGAGAAGGAAACGTTTCCGACCCCATAAAGTATATATATTCTTGATCAGCATCAATAGCCGAGTCGATAGAGCCATGTCTGTCTGTCCGTCTGTCCGTCTGTCTGTCTGTCCGTCTTGTTGAGCGCCTAGATCTCAGAGACTATAAGAGCTAGGGCAACCAAATTTGGTTTCCACACTCATGTTATATCACACTGCTACAAGTGTATTTCAAAATTTCGCCCCGCCCCCTTCCACCCCCACAAAAGACGAAAATCTGTGGCAGGCACATTTTTAAAGATACGATAAAACTAAAAACGCAGTATCGTAGAGAATGCCCATATCTACCAGATTGCCGAATCTAAATCAGATCGGATCATAATTATAGCCAGAATGAAGAAATTAATTTTCAGTTGCTTCCCCTGGCCCCCTCCGGCAAACGACAACGCAAGTCATTCTCCTTCTCGCTCGCACACTCTGCCGCGTTCGGTGCGCGAGCAACCCCTAGCGGAGGAGATGTAGAATCTAAATGGAACAAGTACATTGTACAATCTACATGTTAGATGTAGAATATACATTGTAGATGTAGATATCAGATGTAGCAAAAAAATGTAAAATGTAAATTTTTTTTTTTTTTTCTAAAATTCTAAAAAATCATAAGCTCAAAAATGTATAGCTGACTGAGTACGGGTATAAGTAGAGTCGCGTCCCCAGAAGCCACTCACACGTTCCTTCTCGTTTTTTGTGAAGTTTTGTCTGTTTCGATTTTGGATGTCAGATCATCAGCCATATTTTCAACCAATCTTGTTTGAGCAATTTTACCTTTTAGAGCTGCAACTACTTTTTAAAAGCATTCTTCGGACTTAAAACTCCGTTTGAATTTTGGGTCTTGTATGGTGCTTTCCGCATACAAAATGTTATTCTCCAAATCGCCAAAACGTACGGTCATTGCCTCTCTCAGTTTTTCTACGACTTCCTTAAGAACGTCATTATATGGAATACTATTGGCAATTGATTGCTGCAGCAAGGTGACCATTATAATAACCTTTGATAAGGTGACATTATTCTCGGCATTAGCATCGGCAGTACACTCTCAATCATTTCCCATTCTGCCTGGGTTAGTGCAAGTTCAGGGCGTAGAAGGGAAACTACCACCATAACTCCATCTTTTGAAACAGACAGGCGCTGAAACATTTTGTATCTTAAGTTCCAACGTGTAGGCACATCTTGAGTCAACTTAAGCTCGGGCAGTTTTAATTAGCTTTGGATATCTTTAAGCTTCTTGAGTCCGGATGAGCTTCGATTGAAAAATTCCACATTTGCTCTGGCTTTGACCCTCACACTGTCAATTGGTCCTAGCGCTTTTTGTGCAATGATATTTAAAGTGTGGGCAAGGCATGCAATATGGCGCCAATTTCCTAATTTAATAGCCGATACGATATTAGCAGCATTATCTGATGCAATAGCAGTAATTTTATTTTCAATTTTCCATTCAGCTGCCACCTTCTGGAGAAAAGAGAAAAGATTGATACTTGTGTGCCTCTCACCGAATGCTTCACAATCAAGCATATACGAAGATTGTAACATATTCTCCTGATCTACAAAATGCGCGGTTACAGCCATGTAACTTTCATTGGTGAGCGATGTCCATCCATCGGTAGTGAGACAAACTGCAGATGCTGCACCCATCTTCTCTTTCACATTTGCAATTAACTCACTGTGTATATTTGGAAGAAGCACTTTAGACAGCGTTTTACGTGTGGGCATCTTATATCCAGGACAATACGAAACATCCTCTATCAGCTTCTTGAAATCCGGCTCCTCCACGATCCGGAGAGCATGGTGGCCTTTAGAGATCATTCGCACTAGCTGTTTGTCTAATTGTTCACTTTTACGAGCAGATGGTGGCTTTTGGGCAAATGCAGTTATTTTTTGCTGCGATGTTGTTGCTGCAGAATTACTGGCCTCAGTACTTCCACTTCCTTGACGTTCAACCATCTCCAAAGAAGCTGGGTGTTTTATCTTTAAACGTCGTGTCAACTTGCTCTGGGAACCTCCAGCCATACTCATTTCCGACTTGCAGTACTTGCACTTGGCCTTTTTCGCGTTTACAGCGTCGAAGTGATTCCATAAATCACTATATTTGCGTTAAAGCGACATTTAAAAAATTTGTTGCCTTTAAATTCTCTTGCCAGAGTCTGTCACAACAAAATGTGAAAAAGTGATGCCATATTAGCTCAAAAATAGCGAACAAAACGAACCAAGAAAAAACAAACAGAGCTGCCATACCGGCTCAAACATAGCGAAGAAAACGAACAAAAACGAACAGACAAAAAAGAACGATTAAGATGAACTTATTCAGTTCATTCATTTCAGTGAATACTTATTTTTTGTTTGTTCGTTCATAACGACCCAACACTATCGTAGTATCGTATCGTAGAGAATGACCATATCTACCAGATTGCCGAATCTTAATCATAACGGATCATAATTATAGCCAGAATGAAGAAATTTAATTTTCAGTTGCTTCCAACGCCTCCTCAGCCGAGACACGCTACTCATTCTCTTTCTCGCTCGCACACTCTGCCGTGTTATGTACGCGAGCGCCCTCTAGCGGAGATGATGTAGAAACTAAATGGTACATCTATAATGTATAATATACATAGTAAATGTATATGTAGATAACAGACGTAGCAAAAAAAATTTGACATTTTAAATTCTAAAATTCTAAAAAATCAAATCAAAATCAAAAATGTATATTCTGACTGAGTAGGGGTATAAGTAAAGTCGCGTCCCCAGAAGCGACTCGCACGTTCCTTCTCGTTTATATATCAGGTGTCGCACTAGGGTCCCAACGACCACTTTTGTTGTCAAAATAACTTGCAAAAGAAACAGGGTTTTCTTTTTTAGTTTTTTTTGGTTTGGATATACATATATAATTAATAGGAAGTGGATTTACAAAAAAAAATGGGTGTGGCACCGCCTTTTTTTCATAATGCATATTAAAAAATAGTTAGTTATAGGGAATAACAAGCATATAAGTATTTAGCATAGTTTAAAGTTTAAAAAAGTTTATGAAAATATATGTTTATTTACCATTCCATATTTTTATCAGTTTATTTATAAATTATACTTTTTCAAAATCATTTATTATTTATATTTTTACATTTTTAAAAGAGATGAAGCTGCTCCGTGAGCAAAATGCTGTACTGATGCAAAAACTTGATGTAATGGCGGAGGAGCTCGCAGAAGCCACCGCCCTTATCAAAGTGAGCGTAAAGGTGGAGGAGGTCCCGGCTGCTATGAGCTTACCAATAAAGTCGGAGGAGGAGCTCGATCGTTTTGGGGAGTCATTGACTCATCAAATTCAAGATTTCTACGTAAGTACCATAAAAAACTTCTTATTAAAATTATAATACCTTCTGCAAGAGCTTGCAAATTTTACATAGTCTCAATCGATTTATAAACATAATTTTTTACATATTTACAGATAAATAAAGTTCGGAAGATGCTTGGAAGCTGCCCACTATCAAAATGCCTTAAAAACATAATAGATGAAGACACCATTAAGTTATACAACTTAGATGGGACATGCGGGAAAAAGCGGCTCAAAAATAGAGCTGGGATTTATTCGATTCTCAAAGGTAAGACTAAATACATCATATATTGCTTTTTAGCTTAAAATATATTACCTTCAAATGTTAATATTCCATAAAAATAGAAAGAGATTAAAATATTATTTTTTTTTATAAAATTTCAGAAGCATTAGAGCAGATAAATTCAATAGACTCGGCAGATAGGTCAATAAGAAAGGCGATACAAAATGTAAAAAACAACATCACAAAGAAGAAGACCAGAAATAAATAAAAAATAGTATTGACACGTAAAATAAATATAATCGTTTTTTAATGAAGTTTTTGTAAAAGAAAGTAACACGTGACTCTTTTCATGAAATTAAAAAAAAGTCATCGATAATTTCATATAGGAAGCCACCTAGGCTTCTCATATTAATAATAATAGCCACTGAGAAAAATACAAAATAAAGGAGGGCCCCCAGATTGATGGTTGCCCAGGGCCCGGTTGAGGGTTGATCCGGCCCTGAATAGGTCGAGTTTGGTTTTAAAGTTGTTAGAGGACACAAATACAGGCATAGTTACACACGCACACGGTTTATATTCGACACAGCTGCAAAGGCGCTCTCTCTTGGCTCAAGCCGGAGAGAGCCGAGTGCCCTGCCGAAGCTATCGGCTCCCGACCCGAAGGCCTGGGAGCCAATCGTCCAAAAATGTTATGCAGGCAGTTTTTAGTCGATTTGACGCCTCTATGTGTTGTTTGCTTAGTGGTTGTAGTCAGGGCAAGCAAGTACTGGAGCGGTGGTTAGTAGTCTATGTCCATGCTGGGCAACCATCAATCTGGGGCCCTCCATTTTTCACGCCAGTTCCTTCTTTTTTAATTTGAAACAAAAACTTATAAATTTAATGTTTGTTTGATTAATTTGTATGTTTATCAGTGGACATTATATTTTTATACCCGTACTCAAAAAAGAGTTAAGGGGTATATTAGATTTGTGGTAAAAGTGGATGTGTGTAACGCAGAGAAGGAAACGTTTCCGACCCCATAAAGTATATAATATATTCTTGATCAGCATCAATAGCCGAGTCGATAGAGCCATGTCTGTCTGTCCGTCTTGTTTGACGCCTGGATCTCAGAGACTATAAAAGCTAGAGGAACCAAATTTCCAGACTCATGTGATATCACACTGCTACAAGTGTATTTCAAAATTTCGCCCCGCCCCCTTCCGCCCACACAAAGGACGAAAATCTGTGGCAGCCACAATTTTAAAGATACGATAAAACTAGAGAGATAGAGAATGGCCATATCTACCAGATTGCCGAATCTGAATCAGATCGGATCATAATTATAGCCAGAATGAAGAAATTAATTTTCAGTTGCTTCCCCTGCCCCCTTCCGCAAACGACAACGCAACTCATTTTCCTTCTCGCTCGCACACTCTGCCGCGGAGGAGATGTAGAATCTAAATGGAACATGTACAATCTACATGTTAGATGTAGAATATACATTGTATATGTAAATGTAGATAGCAGATGTAGCAAAAAAATGTAAAATGTAAAATTTTTTTTTTTCTAAAATTCTAAGAAATCATAAGCTCAAAAATGTATATACTGACTGAGTACGGGTATAAGTAGAGTCGCGTCCCCAGAAGCGACCTACACGTTTCTTCTCGTTTTTTCATTATTTAGAGTTTGGTTTTTTCAACAAATTTTTCTGTTAGCCCTAGGGCCCTAGGCAAATGCTAATCTGGCCCTGGACCTATTCCAGGGCCTGGGGGTGCTGGGACAGAAAACTCAGCTGCGACACGTTCGGTGTATGAACTGGCACATCTAAAGTGGGGAGCAAAACTGAGTACATACTCATAACCAGTGACTTTCGCCTCCCATAACAGCTAAACGAACAAAGCAAAGCAAACCAAATATTTTTCATATATCAATTCATTTATTCTTAGAAAGTAGGTAATAACAACAGAAACAGATGGGAAGCTTTGATAGAGAGAAAAATAGAAAACCAAAACAACTCGCATGTGCTCAGTTTTAACCTTTTTACAAACATCTAAGAAAATAAATTAAACTTAATATTTTGTTCATAGACCCTTATGAGAAATGACATTATTAATACGCTTTGGCATAATGGTTCTCAATAATGTCTTTCGGAATACGATTCCATTCCATCTGTACATGGCCCCAGAGGTCGCCTAAGTTAGATGGGGCTGATTCGTACTGCCCTAGCCGTCGTTTCACGATTGACCATAGGTTTTCAATCGGATCGAGGTCGGGACTTTGAGCTGGCCCCTCCATCAACTTAAAACTTTAATTCCCTAGCCATTCCCGAACAATTTTCGCTGTGTGCTTGCGAATCCATCAGTGTAGAGGGCTTAATCCGTATTTCAAATTATTTAAAATGGGCCAAAACTTTTCACATTGGAAGTGCTTGTTATTATAAATCTGAAGGCATTGCCCCACATATGGGATAGGCGTTTGTTGACTTAGGCACAAAGTCAAGGCGTTATGCACTTTGCCATCGATTGCTGAAAGTTGTAAATTGAAGTTTATATAAAAAAATGTTTCGTCCTCCATAATCATTTTGCAGGGTTGCAAGTATTTATCTGTTATTTTAAGTCCGAATTTTCCTTTAATATGCACTCCTTGGTCTCTTTCATAAATGCTTGTCTTAGGGGCCGACAAAATCTAGTTGATTTGAAGTGTTCGGTTGTTCCACAAAACGTTTCCGGATGGATCTACTTGCCTAATGGTGTCACAGTTGTGGCAAAAATGCTGGAATCCATATCATAAGCTTGAACTCCAGAATAACCTTGGTTGTAATTGGATTGTCTAGAGCTACCATCAAAACCATAGCTTAAAGTCAAATCCGCAGTCAAAAACGACATGCGCTGTTCTTGCATTACATCTAAAATTACTTCATCTTGTAATATTACAATTCGACCAGCAGTGTGGGCTAGTAGACTTTGAAGCGGGACCTTTGCTTTTGTCTCAGATATTAAAATGCAGTCTTTCGTTTGGTCCACAATTTTGTTGTAAGAAGGGTACATGTCGCAATTTTTGTCACTTTGATTGATCCCTTATTGCGCAATACTGATCTTTGGTGTGATCTTTGTCGAGAAGCAGGGCTAACGCCTCGTTGGGTGAGATAAATGTTGGCTTTCCGGCTGGGTCCTGTACAGCCTTTCGAATCGAAGTTTTAGTACAAATGTAAGGTCGGTTTTTCCTCGTTTTTGCCGCTTAAATCAATAAATTGATGTTTCCTCCTTCCGATAGTACAAGATCTGCAGACTGCTTTCTTTGTGATCTACGAAATTTCTTGGAATATGGTAGTACAGGACGGCCTACTGACTCTAAGGCTTTTGGAACGGTTACACTTGTCTGCATTTGACCTGCATATCTTCCATTTTGTTACCAAACGATAACAAAAACTCATACTGGTATCTCTAAAGAGTTTTTTAATTTCATCTGAAATGTCGCCATTAAGTCTCGCTTTTAAATAATTTAGTACCGCAATTTCCTTGGCTGTTTTACACTTCTCTGCTGTCTGGTCAGCAAACAACTCTGCATTGCTATATTTGAGGTTAAAATCTACTAATGCAAATTAAAAGAAAAGTAGTCAAATGTGGTATTTCTTACTATATACATTTCAACAAGAATTTATTAATGTACGATACACAATAAGTTTCAGGGTGGGACTAGGTGGGACTCACTAAATATACCTTTTCAAAAATTAGTTTATATTAATAAAACTTGTCAACACGACAATTAGGCTGTGGCCCAAAATGACTTTTTCTTATAGATTTTGGGGTTTAAAAATGTTTAAAGAATTATGGTTTTTTTCTATGGCAGAATTTTTTTTGAAGAATTTTTCAATTCTGGTATTTTTTGTAAAGCTTTTTTCAGAGGTAGGGCATCTTTTTTTCACGTAACTCTAGTATCTTACTTTGCTATTGAAAAGATAATTAAAACAGCTACAAGGTAAGCCCAAACACTTTGTGATTTAAGCTTACCGTCTGGGAAATATAAAGCATTGAAATGCAAAAATGATGATTTTTGTGTGGTATTTTTTACAGAATTTTGACTTTAAAAACTCAGAAAAGTCACTTTGGAGCTCAAATTCGTTAAAAAAACCTAAAAAATGAAAAAAATGAACAAAAGATACCTTTGGGCCCAACTGCCAATTGGGAATTGGGATCGCGATCAGGTACCAAATTTACAAACCATTTTTGTTTGCTTTGTTCACTCAAGTATAATTACACTACTCAACAAAATTGAACTTTTTCTTTCGGCTGTCGACCAAGTCGACTTTTTCTGATAAATTTCGGGATTTAAAAATTTTTTAGTACTTTATTTTTTGTATGGTTTACTTTTTTTTAACAAATTTATAAAATCTGGAATTTTTTTTTTTTTTTTTTTTCACTCTGTTCACTCAAGTATAATTACACTACTCAACAAAATTGAACTTTTTCTTTCGGCTGTCGACCAAATCGACTTTTTCTGATAAATTTCGGGATTTAAAAAATTTTGTAGTACTTTATTTTTTGTATGGTTTACTTTTTTTTAACAAATTTATAAAATCTGGAATTTTTTTTTATTTTTTTTTTTCAGAGGTAGTGCTTCTACTTTTCACATAACTTAAGTATCTTATATATAAAACACTTCCTTTTCAACAGTAAGCGAGACCGGTAGTGGTTTTTTCTTAGCTGTGCAGCTGTGCTTAGTGGTGTTTTTTGCCGAGTTACATAACCAAAAAAAAAAAAACGAGAAGGAACGTGTGAGTCGCTTCTGAGGACGCGACTCGACTTATACCCGTACCAAAGACTCTATAACACAACAAGATGCGTAACGAGGAAGAAAAAAATGTATGACAGCAGCACAGTTTTAAAAGAAATCTAACTCCACACTTGCGTATGCATGTGTGAGTGCGCTACACAAAATGTATTCTATTTTTAGAATTTCGTTGTTACTCTCGGGAATATACACACATTTGTACATATGTATGTATGTGTGTGTTCTACAATTTTTTCCGTCTGAAATTCTGACTCTGAATCCAAATTTCGTATTTCGTCAAAGCTGCACAATTCTTAATGATGAAAACGAAATTAAGATACTGCAACTGCTTAGGAAAAAGAAATACGGACGGTGGTGCAGTGGCGAAGTTGCTTGCGTACGGAAAGTGTGAGCCAAGTTCAATTCGCAGCGAAAGGTGATGATTTTTTTTTTTTGGCGTTATCTTTATTTTAAAATCAAATATACTTAATAATGAATGCCATGAATAAAACAAAATTC